TTGCAGTGGGAGCGCCCGAGGACTGTCACGGATATTCAGAGCTTTGTGGGACTAGCGGGTTACTATCGGAGGTTCATTGAAGGATTCTCTAAGATAGTAGCGCCTCTGACCCAGCTGACTAGGAAGGAGCAACCATTCATTTGGACTGATGCCTGTGAGCAGAGTTTTGTTGAGCTGAAAAGGAGGTTAACTACTTCTCCTGTACTGGTATTGCCAGATTCGGGTGAGCCTTTTGACGTGTACTGTGATGCCTCTCATCAGGGTCTGGGTTGTGTGCTGATGCATAACGGGAGAGTGGTGGCATATGCTTCAAGGCAGCTGAAGATTCATGAGAGGAACTATCCCACTCATAACTTGGAGTTAGCAGCTGTGGTGTTTGCCTTGAAGATTTGGAGGCATTACTTATATGGTGCTCGGTTCAGCGTCTTCAATGATCACAAGAGTCTGAAGTACTTGTTTGATCAGAAGGAGTTGAACATGAGGCAGAAGCGGTGGATGGAGTTTCTGAAGGATTATGATTTTCAGTTGATGTATCATCCAGGCAAGGCCAATGTGGTGGCAGATGCGCTGAGTAGGAAGTCCATCCACATGTCGAGCATGATGGTAAGAGAGCTGGAACTGGTCGAGAAATTCAGAGATTTGAATCTCTGTGTAGAGTTAGCTCAGGATCACATTAGTTGTGGGGCAGTTACCATAACTAATGAGTTCTTGAGGCAGGTTGGACTCAAGCAGTTACAGGATGAAGAGTTGGTGAGACTTCTTGGTTTGCTGGGTACCGATAAAGCTACTGGTTTTGAACTGGGAGAAGATGGGATCTTGAGGTTCAGAGACAGGATTTGCCTACCTCAGGATGCTGAGCTGAGGAGGGCTGTATTGGAAGAAGGCCACAAGAGTAGACTTAGCATACACCCAGGTATGACTAAGATGTACCAAGATCTCAAGAAGACTTTCTGGTGGTCTGGTATGAAAAGGGAGATAGCTGAGTATGTGGCGGCCTGTCTGACCTGTCAGAAAGCAAAGGTTGAGCATCAGAAGCCGAGTGGGTTGATGCAACAGATTGAGATCCCCGAGTGGAAGTGGGATAACATTACTATGAATTTTATTGTGGGGTTGCCGAGGTCAGCTAGGAATAGTGATGCTATCTGGGTGATTGTTGATCGGTTGACCAAGTGTGCGCATTTTTTGTCTGTCAACATCAAGTGGTCCTTGGAGAAGCTGACGCAGTTGTATATGAAGGAGATAGTACGGTTGCATGGGGTGCCTTCCAGTATTATTTCCGACCGAGATCCGAGGTTCACTTCCAGATTTTGGCAGAGTCTACATCAAGCCTTAGGCACGAAGCTGAAGCTGAGTTCTGCTTATCATCCGCAAACAGATGGTCAGTCAGAGAGGACAATCCAATCCTTGGAGGATCTGCTGAGAGCTTGTGTGTTGGATCACTTGGGTAGCTGGGAGGAGGTCCTACCGCTGGTGGAGTTTACTTATAACAACAGCTTTCATGCTAGCATTGGGATGGCACCATACGAAGCCCTGTATGGCAGAAGATGTAGGACTCCTCTGTGCTGGTATCAGGATGGGGAGGCAGTGGTTGTGGGGCCGGAGATAATCCTACAGACTATTGAGAAGGTGAAAATGATTCAGGAAAAGATGAAGATTGCTCAGAGTAGGCAGAAATCTTATGCGGATAAAAGGCGTAAGCCTTTGGAGTTTGCTGAGGGGGAGCATGTGTTTCTGAAGATGACTCCGACTTCTGGTGTGGGCAGAGCGCTGAGGGCATGGAAGTTGACACCAAGATTTGTGGGTCCCTATCAGATCATACAGCATGTAGGTCCGGTTGCTTACCGGTTGGCTTTGCCACCGTCCCTTTCAAACCTACACGATGTATTTCATGTATCCCAGCTGAGGAAGTATGTGCATGACTCAAGCCATGTGGTGGAACTGGACGATGTGCAAGTGAAGGAGAACCTGACAATTGAGAAGTTGCCAGTAGCTGTGGTTGATCATAAGCTGAAGGAGTTGGGGGGAAAGTCCATTGCTCTGGTAAAGGTGTTGTGGGATACAACTACCGGTGAGGCTACTTGGGAAGTGGAGCAGCAGTGCAGGCAGCAGTATCCATTTCTTTTCCCAAGTAAGTCTGTTTTCGGGGACGAAAACTCTTGTTGTTGGGGAGGTTGTGAGACCCCATTCCTTCCGCAAGTTCCTCTTTCACCTTTACATTCTTTTCTCTGATTTCCCACTTGCTCTCCTTACTTTCTTTCCTTTTCTTGATATCTCAAGGTGGTTGTGCTGAGTGAGCTTGGACTCTGCTAGCTAATTTTCGGAGTTCTCTCTTGTTCGTTCGTGTTCGTTCAAGCTCCCTTTCGTCTCTCTTCTCTGTTCTTCAATCGTCTCTTCCCGGAAGCTCGGATTCCTTCACCGAGGTAAGGGAAGCTAGGATCTTGTACTGGTTGTTGTTGAGTGAGTTACAAACTCACGGATTGTCTGATTCTTGGAGATTGATGGCTGTGTTTGAAAGATTTTCATTTTCGGGGTTTCGTGGTTTGATGAAAATTTGGGGTTTTTGGTTTCTTGATGGAAGGTTGAACATTGATGATTTTTCTTGAGTTTTGGATGCATGCATGTTGTGATTGTTGATGTTTTTGGGTTGCATGTGGTTGATAGTATTGCATTTGAGTTGTAGCATGGTTTGGGTCTCCTTGGATTGCAAGTTCATGGAGGCTTTGAGTGAAAACGAAGCTGAAATCCATGGAGTTTTTGGAAGTTCAGAAACCCACAGCTATAGCCGTGGAATCACAGCTATAGCCGTGGAAGAAAAATGTACTTGCAGGAACCCACAGCTATAGCCGTGGATTCGCAGCCATAGCCGTGGGAAGGAAAAACGTGATGGCAGAGACTTGCAGCCATAGCTGTAGTTTTGCAGCCATAGCTGTGGAGAAAAATTAAAGTGGCAGAAACTTGCAGCTATGGCCATGGATTTGCAGCCATGGCTGTGGAAGGGGAAACTGAACTGGCAGAGAGTTGCAGCTAAAGCGCTGGATTGAGCGCTGCAGCGGTGGGTCTTGATGACCGAATTTGGTCTTAAAGTCTTCATGAAAGTTGTAGCCTTGGATCTTAGCTTTCCAATGGCGTTGGAATCACCCAAAAAGGAGTTCTAGAACTCCAGATATGGCTGTTTTAGTGAAGAGGGGTCAAGCTGCCAGCCTTGGTTATAGCTGTTGCGGTTTTTAAAATTTTTCACAAGGTAGATGAAGGAATTAGGACTCGATGTCTTCATGAGAGTTATAGGAAATCTTCTTATCTTTCATATGAGATAAGGATGAGCATGATAGGAGTATTATAACTCCAGATATTCTATGTTTAGTAAAGGTTGTCACTTCACAATGAGTGATTAGGATAAGCTGAAGGTTGTTTCAGATGTGTTCTTTCATAAATATGTTAATTAATGCTGACTAATATTGATTAATGTTGTTGAGCCGAGCTGAGTTGTATGTTGTTTAAGTTATTAATGTCGTATGATGTTTAAGCTGTATTGATGCAAAGCTGAGCTGTGCTGTATAATGCCAATGCTGATTAGTTGTGCCGTATGTTGAACTGCTGTGCTATGCTGTGCTGTGCTGAGTTGTGTGAGATTATAGCCGCTAAGTCGGTGCCGTTATTAGCCACATGCGTGGTGCTGTTATAGCCGCTAAGTCGGTGCTGTTGTTGCCGCTTCGCGGTGCTGTTATAGCCACTTGAGTGGTGCTGTTATTGCTGCTAAGCAGTGCTGATATTGTTGCGAGTTGTGAGTGGTATGAGTTGTACATGTGTGTTGTTAGCTATATCAGTTGTTTATCATATTGTTATATATCAGTATGTTGATTTTAATTACACTAGCTTACCCTTTTGTTGTCTCCATGATGTTTTGGACTGCAATGGTCATACTATGTATGGGAGCAGAGCAGGGATAGATGGGAGTCTAGTGGTGAGTCTTCAGCAGACTGGAGGAGCTGATCTATCTTTTGTGATTATTTTGTTGTTGAGCTACTTGAGATGGTAGCATTTGATTGTAACTTTTGTACACTTTAACTCTAGTCAGATTGGAACTTTGTATATCTATATATTCTAGATCCTATATTTATATACTTGTTCTATCTGTCTGGTGTTTCTAGTGTGCTATGCCTTGTGTAGTGACCAGCCGGGTCGTTACACTCAGAATTCGGTTCCCCGGGAACCGAATTCTGAGCTTGAACAGTGAATGGTTCTATCTGTGTAAATAAACCTGCACAGTGGTTATTTGGGTATTTTTTTTTAAAAATAATATTTACGTAAAAAATTCTGCTTACTGTTCAGTTACTAACAGGTTCGCATTTTGTAAATTAAAAATAGATGTTAAAAAATTGAACTAGTTGCGAACTGATCTATAAAAACTGAACTTTTTTTTATTTATAAAAAACTGAACTAAGCTATTTGTATAAAAAAATAAAATTGAACTAAACTATATAACTGAATTGAAATAAACTAAACTACTCCTCCTGGACTCAAGCAAAAAAAGTCCCTAAAATTTTTAGATTTAAATATAAGTAAATTCTAACTAACTTGACAATATTTAATGTTATCATTTAAAAAACAATACCCTTAACTTAAATGTGATTGCTATTTCCAATGAATATTATTACGGATAGTTTAGGAATTAAAGTTTAGTTTTCACATGAAATCAATAAAATTAAATAACTTAAACTAATTTTCTTAATATTTATAAATTTAGATATTTTGCTTATATATAAGTCTAAAGAGAGTATTTTTATAAAGGGGATTAGAATTCTCCATTTTTTTTCCCTTATATTTATCATTGCAAAAAAATAGTTCAAAATTACAAAGCAGCTCAAATCAGTTCGCGGAACTAATAAAACAATTCAGTTTAGTTTGAACTATTGTCAAGTTCAGTACAGCTCGGATGAATTATTTTTCCAGTTCAATTCACATACAATTCAATTCAATTCAATATTTTTGAACACCACTGATTAAAAGGCCATTATCCACATAAATGTTCATGATTTTTCTGCATAAAAAGTTCATTTCTGCTTGAAGAATGCTCTATCTGCATTCAAATCATGCTTTTCAAGTATTTGGTGGCCATTCTACAGATCCGAAAACAATCTCGTGTTCAGATCGCAAAACATTCTTGTGTTTCTAAATTCCACATGAAATGATGCAATGTATAAGATCCTACACAACTAGTCCTGTGATTAAGGAGGTATACAAGCATCACTCTACGAGACAGAACGGAGTCTGCAGCATATGCCCCCTAAAATAAATAATAGGATAAATCTTAGATGCAGTTTTTTTTAAGGTGCTTTAGGTGTTGTTCTCTAATTAGAATTACAAATGTAATAGAACAAGGGGTCAAGACAAATCTCAGCACGCCATTCATAATTGTTTTCAAATGTCAACATTGTCAGATATCACCATTACCTTGCTGAGCCTTTGACTCATAGAAGAGCCTTACAGTTGAGTAAATGGTAGAAGGTTCAGCCATGGCACCATTGCCATAATCCCCACATGCTAACCTCTTCGTAACAGGTGGAATGAGAGAAATGCCAAGCTCATCAATGCCAATGAGATGCCGCTCAGTGAAAGGATTGTTCCACATAAGAGTGTTCATGGCTGGAGCAACAAAGAATGGCTTGTTGAAGTCCCAGGCTCGCACGATGCATGTCAGTAGATTGTCACACAACCCTCCAGCAATCTACAATAGCATATATTTGTGTTATGAAAAGGAAGAAATTGACAATCGTAAATTTTTAAGCACTTTAATAGAAACATACATATAAACCCCATATAAAATGTATATACAAAAACTGAAGTACTGAACATCAAAAGATGGATAAGAACACATATCATTGAGTGAACTTGCCTGCACTGTATAAATAGGCATGTGAATTTCATAGAGATACCAGCTTGTTTAATATAATGTGCAGCAAAATATAAGTTACCTTTGCAAGGGTGTTGGCCGATAATGGAGCAATGACCATGATATCAGCCCATTTGCGAAGCTCAATGTGAAGCACGCTATCGCCTAGTTTCGTCCAACTAGACCATTCGTCCTCATCCGTGTATAAAATTACATCCTTAGGCATCGAAGCTCTATCAATGAAATGCAAAGATGCACTTGTGGCAACTGCTTTTACATCCGCCCATTCAGAGAAACAATGACAAAGATTTGCAAATTTGATAGCAGCAACACTCGCACTAGCAGCAAGTAGAATCCGGGGCTTCCTTGGCACAGCATCCACTGCCATATTCTCTCCTTCTGCACTTACAGGTTCTGAGCCAGCCATCACCTTAGACTTCCACAATGATCTTAAATATCCGTGATTCAAACAGGCGTTTCAGCTCATTCATCAAAAACCTTCAAATTGGTAAAAACTACAACACCTTTAGAGGACAGTATATAATTACTAAATATTTGTATCCAATGAATGCAAAAGGAAAAATTCCTTAGTTATTGAAATAAAACTCAAATATACATGCATCTAAAGCCCAAGTCAACCATAGTGATAGGTAGCTAGCTTAACACCAACAATGACAACATGTATGAACTACGGCTCTGTTTGGATACACTTATAGGAGAAAACAATAAGGAAAAATGAATTAACCTTCTCTCACAGAAACTCTATGATTTAACTTCTCCAAAAATTGAAATACAGAAGTTGATTTTAAGTTATGAAAGAAATTAAATTCATTTTGCTTTTTATTTTCTTCTTCTACAAGTGTTTATGGAGAAATTTATTTAATCAAGACCAAACATTACTACCCTAAATACATTTAAAAATAAAGTTTAACTTTAAAACACAGTCAGAGTAAAGATTTTCACACTTTCAAACAATTAAAAATCACCCTAGATAATTTAACAAATTTTACCACACGAGAATCCATGATTGAATGACGAAATACTAAACCTTTACCTTCGTGCATTCCATTAAATTCTAAAAGTAATCACATTTACGAGTATTCATATATCACCAGGTGCAATGTCCACCCCATGATGCAACATATGAGAGAGAATCCACCATTACAAATTCATAGTTACCTACACACAGACAACCCCATCCCACTAAACAAGAACCCTAAAGAGAGAGAGAGAGGGAGAGAGACTTTCCTGTAGTAACAATCAGACACCAATGAAGAACAAATCAGATTCAGAACAACATTATAAACAAAGGAAGAACCAATTTTAAAAGAAAATCGCGGGAAGGACGAGGAACAGGAGTTAGGAAGTGAATCCTAAATTAAAGAAACATATTCTGAAACATGTCCCAGGAAGTGTACAATCCATGGTTTCTATTTACAGAAAACCCCACCAAAGATTCGATCCCTTTTGCATAAAATAAATTGATGGGGTCGAGCAAAATGAAAAAAAAAATAATAAAAATATGAAAATGCATGAGTAACGTGAAGAGAGAAAAGAGTGAAGGGGTTTAGGGAACAAACCTAACCTCAGCAGCGACAACACAATCCGATTCGGCGATTCCTGTTAGTGTTTGTGTTGTGATAAAAGTCAAAAGCAGACCGCTGTTGGGGTAGCAATGTAGCATAACTCGCACACTGTTCAAACCAACCCAATATATACTAAACTTTTAATTTTTTTTCTTCTATTATTTGGTGTAGACAAGGAACTAAATAAGAATAATAAATAATAACAGGATAGATAAACAATTTACTCTAACATAAGAAAAAATTAAATTTGTTTATTATTTTAGAATAAAGTGCATTGGTATTCCAACGGTACTAAAACTTTGTTTTTTCTAATGATTACAATAATTTTCTTTACAAAATGTAATGTTTTTTTATGTTATATTTATAACAAATGATTTATATGTAAAATTATTGTTACTTTTAAAATATAGAAATTTAATATTTAACTAAAACTATAAAATATTTATTAAAAGAAATTAGATGTTAGAAAAAAAATTTCTAAAGACATTCTTGTCAAATAAAATCACCTAAAAATATTCTATTAGATTAATAGTTCCAAAAATATATTTTAGTTCGTATTATATAATTATTTTAGAATTAGTAATAATATTTAAATATTTTTATTTATAAAAATTTGAGTGATTAAAAAGTAATATATATATATATATATATATATATATATATTAATTAGTATACACATACCATGTAATATATATAATATATAATTTTGTATTATAATACTTTAAGAGATACTAAATTACATGTTTTTAGTTTTTAAATATAAGATGATTTTTTAAGTCTATATAATTAAAAAAGTAATTATTTAATAAGGAGTCTAATTTAATTGATTGAGTAAGGTATATTGTAATTTTTTTTGGTTTCCAAGTTCAATTTTGATAAATAAAAAAGTTTATTTTAATTTCTTTTCGAAAATGTTACTAGCAAATTTGTCAAATAAAATTATTTTATTATTGAAATTCTCACATAAAATTTACTCTTGTTAGAAAAAACATCATATTATAACCAACTGATGTTGCACATTGACTCAATTTATTCCTAATTCTAAGATTAAAATAATTTTTAGTTACAAGAATTTAAGATATTAATATTAAATTTGAAGAAGTAAAAATAACTTTATTTTAAATTTGAAATACTAAAATTATATTTAAGTCTAAATTATAATATATAATATAATTTAATATATTATATCATAAAATATTATAATATAATATACAAATTATATAATCGATAACTATTAATAAAGGAATATATTTTTAATAAAAAGAATATATTTTTAAATAATTACTTTCGTTTCCATTATTTTTTTTTATACTTTTTTTGTCTATTTGATTATACAATAACTTAACTCCTTATGAATAAATGATATGGAGAAAATATATTAAAAAAGAATGTAACCCTCTAGTACTAATTAAAAAAAGGCATTGCTTGTCTTTAATTTGTATTCCAGTTTTTTTACTTAAAAAATAAAAGATGGTTAAGAGATGTAAATAATTGTTATAATTGAATGATAGTTTTCAAAATTAGTTAACGGACAAAATTGTAAAAAAAAATAAAAATGAGTATTCTACTATTAATATAAAATTATCAATATATAATATTATAATAAAGAAAGAAAGAAATTTACCCCATCTTGTTGATTTCAATTCCAATTGCCCCACTAAGATAAGAAATACAGCAACAACATTATAGGATAAATTTCATATTATATTAACACAATAAACAACAAATTAATATATATATATATATATATAT